ATGAAAACAAATGTTCCCCCTCACTTCGTGTACTCATGTTCCCTTTCTCCAACCCTTGACTTCTCTCTTCCCCCTGAACTGGTGCATCTTCCATAAGAGAACATCGAGTTACGCCGGTCAAATCTATGTAAAGAACAGCAGGTAAGGCGTGTAAGCATTCTTGATTATCAAAGGGGATTATGGCTAGTGAGAGATTTGAAGACATGGCCCTTTTTCTCAACAAACACAGTGTGGATTTTGGGATTTCAAAGGTTTGAGAGAGAATGAGAGCAATCGGGAAAGAAGGAGAGAAGGAACTGAGTTTTAAGAAGAATTATAGGGAAGTGTAAAGGGTTTTTTCTGAGAATAGGAACAGGTATGATTTGAATGATTTTTGCAGGTTTTGATTTGGTGGTTGTAATTTGTAATGATTTTTTTTAATTAAAGGAACGGAACCCAATGCATTGGTCTTATAATTTTAGTCTATCTTAGTCAAGGAGAGTAAACATACCTTTAAGCATGAAAAGATGATTTTGAGAGTCCAATTCCTTCAGCTTCTAATTTCTTAGTTTATCTTCATCATTCCTAGATCCATCCTGTTCCTTTCAAAGCGTTCCCTTGCTAGTGCCTTTGTAAAGATGTCCGCGATTTGTTCTTCCATAGTACAAAAGTTCATAGAGATTAAACCTTTCTCCACATTGTCTCAAAGAAAGTGATGACGAATGTCAATGTGTTTAGTTCTCTTATGTTGTACCGGATTTTTTGCAATGTTGATTGCACTAGTATTATCGCAGAAAATTGGAACTTGTTCAATTTTGAGTCTGAAATCACTAAGTTGTTGCTTAATCCATAGAAGTTAAGCGCAACATGACGCAACTGCTACGTACTCAGCCTCAGCAATGGATAGTGCAACTGAGTTTTGTTTCTTTGATCCCCATGAGATGAGACACGATCCTAGAAAGTGAGCCATTCCTGTAGTGCTTTTTCTATCACCCAAGTATCCAGCATAATCAGCATCCGCATACCCAACTAAGTCAAAGTTGCTTCCTTTTGGGTACCAAAGTCCTAAATCAGAGGTTCCTTTTAGATATCTGAGAATTCTCTTGACTGCCTGAATATGTGATTCTTTAGGATTAGTTTGAAAGCGAGCACATAATCCTACACTAAACACAATATCAGGTCGACTAGCAGTAAGATACAAAAGTGAACCAATCATGCTTCTATACAGTTTTTGTTCAACAGTAGAACCTGTTCCTTCAAGGTCTAACTTAGTGGCAGGAGCTATTGGAGTATCAATTGGTTTAGCATCGTCCATTTTAAACCTTTTAAGCAATTCTTTGACATATTTTTGTTGATGAATCCATGTACCTCCAGGTGTTTGTTTTACTTGAAGCCCAAGGAAGTAGTTTAATTAACCCATCATACTCATTTCAAACTCATTGCTCATAAGATTTGCAAATTCTTTTGTGAGACTCTTATTTGTTGCTCCAAATATGATATCGTCAACATAGATTTGCACGATCAGGAAACCTTTTTCTTTATTCTTGAAGAAGAGTGTATTGTCAATTTTACCTCTTGAATATCCATGACTTAAAAAGAAATTTTGACAATCTGTCATACCATGCCCTTGGAGCTTGTTTTAACCCGTAGAGAGCTTTGTCAAGCTTATATACATGATCAGGGAAGTCACTATTCTCGAAGCCAGTGGGTTGTTTAACAAAAACCTCTTCCTGTAATAGCCCATTCAAAAAAGCACTTTTGACATCCATCTGATACAATGTGAACTCCATGTGAGATGCGAAAGCTATAAGCAATCTGATTGCTTCTATTCTTGCCATGGGGGCAAAAGTTTCATCATAATCTATCCCCTCTTCTTGATTATATCCTTGAACAACCAACCTAGATTTGTTCCTGATTATGGTACCATGTTCATCTAACTTGTTCCTAAACACCCATTTAGTTCCAATTATAGTTCTGTTTGAGGTCTTAGGTACTAGATGCCATACTTTACTCCTTTCAAATTGATGTAATTCTTCTTCCATGGCTATAATCCAATCTGCATCTTGAAGTGCTTCACTTATTTTCTTTGGTTCTACCATGGATAGGAATGCACTATGCGCGTAGTGATTCTTTATTCCTGATCGGGTGGTAATTCCTGAAGAAAGATCAGTGAGCAGGTTTTCCAATGGGTGTGATCCTTGGTATTTGTACTCTTTTAGGATAGGAGTTGGTCTTTCCCTCTCTTGCTCTTCATTAGTATCTGGTTGGTTTTCATCAGTATCAAATCCCTCATCAGAATTCACTTGAGTTTCAGTATCTTCTCTGTTTGTTGTGTCAGAGGAACAGGTTTCTTGGACCTGCTCCTGGTCAAAGACAGTATGTTCTTCAGCTGATGTTTTACTGACCAGCATATCTTCATTAGATATACTGTTGCTTTCATCGAAAATAACATGGACACTCTCTTCTACACACATGGTTCTTTTGTTAAGTACCCTATAAGCTTTACTATGTGTAGAATATCCAAGAAAGATTCCGTTGTCACTCCTAGCATCGAATTTTCCAAGCAGATTTTTTCCATTGTTATGAATAAAACACTTGCATCCAAATACTCTAAGATGAGAGATGTTGGGCTTTCTGCCTTTTAATAATTCATATGGAGTTTTTTCTAACAAGGGTCTGGTCATGCAACGATTTATGGTGTAGCAAGTAGTGTTTATTGCTTCTACCCAGAATTGATTTGTGATTTTACTTGCGATCATCATAGTTCTAGCCATTTCTTGAAGAGTTCTGTTCTTTCTCCCTACCACACCGTTTTGCTGAGGGGTTCTGGGGGCAGAGAAGTTATGATCAACCCCATGATAATCACAATATTGGGCAAATTTTGAGTTTTCAAATTCAGTTCCATGATCTGATCTGATTGCCTTTAATTGTTTCCCATATTTTCTGTGAATTTTTCTCATCAGTGAACAGAAAGCCTCAAAGGCATCATCTTTTGCTGCAAGAAATAGTGTCCAGGTGTACCTAGTGTAATCATCCACTAAGACAAACACATATCTTTTCCCCCCTCTACTTTGAACCCTCATTGGTCCACATAAATCCATGTGAATTAGTTCTAAGGAACAAGTTGAGCTTACCATCTGTTTGGACTTAAATGATGATTTTATCTGTTTCCCTAGAGTACATGCTTCACATACCTTATCCTCCTTGAATTTATTTTTAGGCAGTCCTATAATTAAATCCTTGGTGATAAGTTTGTTTAATTGAACTTGGCTAGCATGACCCAACCGTTTATGCCATATCAAGGGATCTTTTTCCAACACACTTAAACACACTAAATTTTTGTCAGAGATAGTTGAGGTATCTACAGTGTAGACATGTTTATCTCTTTTTCCAGTTAACACTAATTTTTGTGTGTTTAGATTGATTACTTCAACACTAGTGGATCGAAAGATTACCTTGTTTCCTTTGTCACACAATTGAGATATGCTGAGTAAATTGTGTCTAAGTCGTTCCACATAGTATACTTTATCAATTGAATGTTCATCAAATCTTCCAATCTTTCCACAGCCTTTGATTTGACCCTTTTTTCCACCACCAAAAGCAACCATACCTCCTTTTCCTTCTTCTAGTGAGAGAAACAATGTCTTATTCCCTGTCATGTGTCTTGAGCAAGCACTGTCCATGTACCACTGATGCTTTCTTTCTCTCACTTCTTCGTGAAGAATTAGAGGTTAGATTTAGGAACCCAGATTAGCTTGGGTTCTTTGTTTTGATCAAAAGGGTGAATAAGATTTCTACGAGCCCATTTGGGCAGACTATTTTTTCTAGGAATGTACCTGTTCCTCTGAACAGCTTTTAGGTTCTTTTTGAATTATTTTCCTTAGTGGCAATTTTGTATTTAGGAAAATATTGTTTAGAATGACCAGAGTTACCACAAAAAATACAAAACGTAGGATTTCCATTTATGGGCTGTTCATATCCTATTCCGGTTTTGATGTTCCTATTGTTGTTTCCTAGATGAGTTACTATCATGGAGGATCTTGTCCATTTATTTGCTCTTTCCAGATCACTTCTTACTCTAGTCAATTCAAGATTCATTCTCTTACAGTTTTCTTTTCTAGCCTTAAAGTTTTTTTGAGTTTGTCAACCTCAAGCTTTTGGTCAGGCAGTTCACCCTCTTTTTCTTTGCCAAGAACTTTTAATTTTGAATTCTTAGTTCTTAGTTCCAGATTTTGGGTTTCAAGTTGCTTGATTTTTTCTTGAAGGTCGAGTTTGTTTTTATTGAGATCAATATGCTCAAACTTTAAGCTAGATAGGGAAGCAAGTAGTTGGATTTTCGTGTTAACAAGTTCTTGAATTGTGTCTATGGATGCAAGCAATAGAAGTGAGAGCTTTTTCTTGGAGAACTTTACTAGCTTATCTTTTAGGTTAAGAAGGTTTACCTCAGCTTCTTCAGAGTCTGATTCAGGTTCAGCGTCTGATTCTTCTATCGCCATCAAGGCAAGGTCTTCAACATCTTCATCCATGTCCGAAGAACCTGTTCCCCAGGCTGCATACATTGCTTGTTCTTTTTCTTTGTTCTTTTTTTTGTTTAGGAGTTCCTTCCTTTCTTTTTTAGCTTTTTCTTTTTTCCATTCTAATTCCCACATTGGGCAGTCCTTTATCTGATGATCTGTCTTACCACACTTAAAACAACCTCCATTTTGTGATCGTTCAGGATTTTTTTCTTTCAAGGGTGGTGATTTCTTGGTAGAGTTTAATCCCCTTTTAAAGAGTTTCTTGAAGTTCCTACATATCAGAGCCAGATCATCGTCATCTATGTCAGATTCATCACTTTCAGTTGCTTTAAGACCAAGAACTTTTTCTTTATTTCCTTCACCTCTTTTGTCAACATGCATCTCATAAGTCTTGAGATTCCCAACTAATTCATCTAAAGACATGTTAGTTAGGTCCTTGGCTTCTCTAATGGCAATGACTTTTATTTCCCAAGACCTAGGCAAAATCCTAAGTACTTTGTCAACCTATTCCTCAGTGGTATATACTTTACCCAATGAGATTAGTTCGTTTACCACAGTGGTGAATCTGGTGATCATATCTTGAAGAGATTCTCTGGATTTCATCTTAAAGGCTTCATATTCTGAACACAAACTAGCAATCCTGAATTTTCGGACTTGAGTTGTACCTTCATGAGCGTTTTGTAGGGTATCCCATATTTGTTTAGCAGAGGTACAACTTGAGATACGGTTAAATTCATCAGGTCCTAGTCCACATACAAGAATACACTTAGCTTTTGCATTCTTTCCTAGCATTTTGTAATCTGCTTCATTATATGTATCTGCGGGTTTAGGTACTTTATTTCCTTCACTATCTGTAATAGTAGGAATTAGTGGTCACTTAGTAATTCTCACCCATAATTCGTAGTCTTCAGCTTGAATGAAGTCTTCCATCCTTGCCTTCCACCACGATTAGTATTGTCCATTAAATAATGGAGGTCTGTTGATGTGTTGCCCCTTACCGTGTCCGAGTGGAGGTGCAGAACTCATGTTGATCTTATCTTGAGTTGTTAGACTCTCTAAAGATAACCTTGCTCTGATACCACTTGTTGGAATTCTACCCTCCTGAACTCTTCAAAGGAACACGTACTAACAACTAGTTTGTGTTTGCTTGAAAAACTTTAACAGTAATTAATTTGAACAACACTTTGTATTATTTGTAAATTTCAAGTAATACAAAGATTACAACGCTTTAGCTCTCAAGGAATTATAAACTCTAATTCCTTCTACTCAAGACAAAAAACTACTCCCTAGTTTTCTATCTTCTCAATGCTTTTCAAGTACTATAACTTGTCAAGCAACTCTACTACCTAGATTGTAAACAAGACTCTTGAATACAATCTTTACAACTTTATCACTCAACTCGCAGCACTCAAAAGAATTTAACAAAACTCTCTCAACCCTCTTGATCGTGTTTTGAAGTTCTCTCTTTGTAAGTGCGCAAGTTTTTCTGATCCAAATAGCTCTCTATTTATAAATCAGAAATTCAACCAATCCTTGTATAAATCAACTTGTATTTGTCTTCTACAAATCCTTGTTGACTTCTACTTGCTCTTTTACTCAAAACCTTATTGTACTCAAATTTGTTTTCAATAGTTTTCCTTAACCACGTAAACTACTATAAACAAAAACGTACATATAAGTTTCCATATATAACTAAGCACTCCACGTACGCTGCCACTTGCATACTCGCTGCATTATTTCACTGGAACATGTTGCATTACCTGTTCAATACAATTTTTCCATATTCAAAATCTCAAGATCAACAGAAACTTTCCTTTTTATGGCAGGCATATGGTGTAGAAAATGGAGTTTTCGGCGGAGTTTTTGATGGACATGGAGAGAATGGACAATAGTCAGCAACTTTGCTGCTGAAACTTTACATTTTCTCTGCCAAAGATCTTTTCTGTGAATCAAAATGTGATGAGAAGGAATTTTAACAAGTGGCAAAAGGCTTGTTGGAGTTCCTTTATGGTGATCGATAGAGATATTAAAAGTCTTGAGAATTTGGACTGTTCTTTCAGTGGAACAACTGCTGTCGTTGCTATAAGACAGGTAACGAGAAAAATCTTTCGTTTGACCTCATTATCGTGAATATTGCTAAAAGTTTTGGAGAATCTAATATAGAAATGTTATAGGATGATGATCTAGTTATCGCCAACCTTGGAGATTCTCGAGCTGTACTAGGAAGAAAGACAGAGGAGGGAGTAATTGAGGCTGTTCAGTTAACTACGAATTTGAAGCCTAGTCTGACTTATAAGACTCTTCTTTTCAGAATATTGACATGATACACTGGGCATAATTCAATTTCAAATTGTTCTTAGTAATGGTCTATCGGAAACAGTTTGTGAGGTAGAGATAAGGTCTGCGTACATTAGACTCCACTACGTGGAACTACACGGGATATGCTGTTGTTGTTTATTAGAGACTAAATGATCATAAACTGTTTGATGCATACAGCTGAAGTAGAAAGAATAAGGAGGTATGGTGGCAGAGTTTTTGCGCGGAAAGAAGAGCCACATATCCAGAGAGTGTATTTACCCAATTAAGATGTTCCTGGTTTGGCCATGACAAGATCATTTGGGGATTTCATGCTAAAATATTTTGGCATAATCTCCGAGCCTGATGTCTCTTATCACCACATTACTCCGAATGACCAGTTTGTTGTTCTAGCAACTGATGGGGTAAGCCTATTTTAACTATGTTGTAGTATATTTTGTTCTGTTTCTACAAGACTTGACATGTTTATTTTCATTGTAAAATAGGTGTGGAATGTGTTGAGCAACAATCAAGTCGTCTCCATAGTGCGTGCAACAAATAATGCAGCAGCAGCGACAGAGACAGTAGTACAAGTTTCGTTAGATGCATGGAAACAGAGGTTTCCTAACAGCAAGAGAGATGACAGCACTGTCATTTGCCTCTACTTGCAACAAGGTGCATCTCTGAAGAATGGTACTTGAAATGTTACTATTTGTATTAGTATATGGATATTCACATTTTGTTAGATTATTGAGTTCTGTGTAGAATTTTTGGAGAAAAATGTATGAAGGCTACAAACTCTGGAGATGAAATCTAAGTGTTTTTTTCTATATAAATAAAACAAACTACTACACAAACATCTTGTGTAAATATAATGCATTTTGTACACTCATTTGTTCACCATATCATTATATAGGTCAAAATTTGATTTAATGAATATATATTGAAGTGTTAGACACCTCTAGAATCTAGATACAAGTTAGTTGAAGGTATAGTTGAATTTATATGTGAGCTTTTTAAGCAAAGTGGATTGAATTGTTGCCAATCTGATAATTGATCAAGACGAAAAAAAAAACATAAATAATAAATGAGATAAAATAAATTGACTATATTAAGTAATAGGCCTAATCCATCGGTGGCCCCCTAAAATTGGCGCTAACTTTCACTTAGACACTCTAACTAGACTTTGTTCATTTTAGACACCTTAGGTAGGTTCTCGCTATACTATTTTAACACTTTTTGCTCACTTGGCATAGTGAGTGTTATACACACAATTACGACTCGTGAAAGCCTTATCTCACAATTTTTTTAAAAAAATTTTGTTCTTCTTCTCCATTTTCTAGCTATCATGTCTGAAACATAAACAAAAATCTATGGTAAATAGATTTAGTAATGCCACAAATAAAAAAAGTAAATTTCAGCCCATAAGATTTCTCAAAAGTTTAACTTTTAACATTATGAAATAAAAATCTATTTCTTTTTTTACGTATTTGAATCAAAAGATTTGAAAAAAAATCTTCTATTGTTAATTAATAACTTAGAAGTAAAAAGAAAACATCATACTTTTGTAAGATAATTTTTTCAAACTAATTAAGTTCTTTTAAAGTATCTCTTGAAAATTTAATGTGGTTGGAAAAGGGGTTGAAGTTGGAGTGGGTGCGGGCGGAGAGGACAGTCTGGTGGCTGGTGGGGTGGAGGAATCGTTGCGGTTGGGGTGGAGAGGAAGATCTAGTGGGTGGTAAGGTGGAGGAGTTGTAGGGGTTGGGGTGGGTGAGGGTGGAGAGGGAAACTTGGTTGGGTGGGGTGAAGAAGACAACGGGGTTGGGTTGGGGAAATTATTGTTTGAATTTAAATGACACATGTCATCAAATTTGTGGCCTTTTTTCTACTCAAAAGTCATTATTTGATTATTATTTTTATATATATACTACCTGTTCTCATTTGATTCGTCACTTCGACACATCACAAGCAAGTCAAAATGATACAATAAAACCTTACATAAAATGTTTAAAATGAACAAAGTCTAGTTAAAATGTCTAAGTGAAAGTTAGTGTCAAATTTAGGGGGCCATCTATGGGTTAGGCCTAAATAATATTAAGGAAATGTAGCATGTGTTGGCTTGAATCCAAAGATATATTTCTTCAGAAAAGCTTGAAGATTGCTCAAAGCTAATAAACAAGTAACAAAATTGTTAGAGAGAAATTGAAGTATTCTGTAAAAGAATCCGATGATTTACAAGGTAGTGATTCTATTGCTTTTATAGGGGTGACTACTCAGGAGCTAATTTCAAAGAAGTAAACCCTTTTAACTCATGATAATTGACATTTTAGGATGGGAAGAGTAACATTTTCATTATCCCTAGTGTTGGTCACTGGCTTTTCCTCCTTCATGATTGGTTCTTTGTGAGGCGATTACACATCCTGGATTGCCTCACAATGAACCAATTATGTGTACAATGTATAACACATTACATATACATAAAAAAAAAAGTTGATCTTGTTAGATCGATTTTTTTTTTGATAATTGACAAATAGAGGAACATATGAAAGGAATAGGTTGAGACGACATGCTCCTTTCAGATCGAATTTGACTGTGATAAGGAGAATGTCAAACACACGAATTAGAAATTATAAAGCAATGGAAGGGTTGCTTTTTTGACAAGAAACTATTGCAAAAAGGTTTCCTTTCATAAAGAAATCCTAGCGAAGTAGGAAGCGTAATGAAGTAGGAAGGATAAGCAGAGTAGGAAGTATAACAACGCAAATAACTTTCAAATTCGGAACGGAGTAGGAAGCATAATCAGATATGCAAATCGAGTTCAAGTTGAAAAAGGTTTTGAAGAGTTCAAAATCTATCAATAGGGCAATATTTTCTTTGGAGAAAATTGCGCACTTAAACAGAGAATTACAAGTAAAATACAATCAACTAGAGAGAGTTCATATTTGAGTGATTTCCGATTAGAAGTGCAACCAACCAGGGATGGCTCGACAGTGTTAAAAAAAGGACATACACCTTAGGCCCCCAAATTTAAGGGGCCTTAGTTTTAATAATAATAGATTATAAGTTATTATTTTTTTAACAAATATTGAATTCTTATTTGTAGAAAAAATTAACTTTTCATGAAAAATGAAGGAAATATTAGAAGAAATTTGACATATTTGAAGTAATATATCTCATGAAAAATAATTTAAAATAAAAATGGTTATATTATTAATTGAAAATTAGAAGAAATCAATAACATAAAAGTTATCAACAATACAAGTTTGAGGCTCCGTTTGATTTTCGCTTTAGGTCACGAATATGCTTGAGCCGCACCTGCAACCAACACATGGCATCAAGAAACAAGAACTGAAGAACTCATTCATTGTCTTATGTTTTATAGTTCTTAAGTCAAGTTTGTTGAAGAACTCATTCATAGTCTTATGTTTTATAGTTCGTAAGTCAAGCTTGCTTGTATTGAGTTTTTATCGAGTTGTATCTTTACTTATCTTCCATTAGAACATCTGGCGTTAGGACATCACTCAGTAGCTTAGTCGTATTAGGATAAGTAGTTTAATCGTACTAGGATTGCAGTACTAATTCAACAATTATTTAGATTACTTTAGTTCAGTTCGTTTAGGAGTCTTATTGGTTTCCCTATAACTCTATTTAATACCTTGTTGTCTTTAATAATAAATACCTTTTTAGCACATATTCAGTCTTTCTATGGTATCAATACACTGTACATCTGGTTACATCTTATTTTTTGGTCACAATCTGATTAGCTGGTCCTCAAATAAGTAAAATACTGTCTCACGCTCCTCCACTGAGTCTGAATACATGGCTATAGCTAATGCACTTTCTGAAACCTTATGGGTCACCAATCTCCTAAATGAACTGTACTTTCCAGTACATCAGCTACCCATAATTCATTGTGACAATCTTGGAGCCATTCTTGAGCAAGGATCACGTTCCTCATAACTGTGTGAAGCACGTCGTCATGGACTTTCACTTTGTTCGCCACTATGTTGACATCAAAAAAGGTTCGTGTTGTTCATGTCCATGGTGTTGATCAAATTGCTGGCACTCTCATCAAGGCACTTCCTAAATCTACTTTTGAGTCTAATTTGTTCAAGTTAGGCTTGGTGACTTGTTGACATCAAATTTCGGTCTAATAGTTTTTAAATTAATACATTTTTGAATATTTTATTTTAAATAGTTTAAAATATATGTTTTTGTCATTTTAATAAAGTTTGTTGATAATCATCCTCTTTTTCAAAGTATTAGGATTTTTATTGATTGTTATTTTCAAATTATTTTATCATAGTTAGACGTTCAAATATTTGTTCATTATTTATAAAATTATTATTTCTGTTAAGCTACATTTCTTACATGTAATTGATTACGTTTATTACGTTTCTTCATATTCATTTTTTTTCTCTATTACATTGTTAGTATTCATTTTTATATATCCTATGCAGTCTAAAAATTTATTCGAATACGAATACAATTTGAACACACATATATTTTGTCAATACGATTTTTGAGGCCATAATCTCAAGCTCATAATTTAGATCCATTTTTTTTTATAATTCCCTATATAAAGAACATTTAGCTAATTAGGTTGTGGGGTGGATAAACTTAAGGGGTAAAAATTTTCAGATTTTTCAAGTCTTCAAATATTCTTTAGTGCTCATATTTTTCCGGCCACCACCCTCGCCGGAGCATTTCCCGGCGAAGCCAAAGCTCCCATTATTTTTCTTTTCATTTTTGCAGCAAACAATAGTCGACAATACTCCTCTCTTCCGGCCAGCACCTCACCGGAAACAACCCACCACCACGATCTTCAAGCTCCGTCAAACCCGACACGAAAATGATCCTCCATTTTTCTCTTCTCAAACTGAAACTCCAAGCTCTACAACCAGCTCTGACGAACAGAGAAGGAGTCAACAGTTCCAAAACTCCGAGTTCCGCCGAGCAACCATCTGAAGTCGGTATCACAAATCTTTCTTCCGTTTGTTTCTATTTTAGTCATTTGCTATTTTTATTGCGTTTTGCCTACAGTTTTAGGCCTTTTTCCATAAATATATTTGTTTTCTTATCACAGTGGTCATTAGTAGTAATTTTTTTTAAATATCATTATTTCATTACTTTTAGGGCTCGTTTGGCCATAAATTTTCCAAATAATATTTGGGAAAAATTTGGTAAATAATGTTTGTCCATACAATTTGCCATTATTTGGTAAATATTTTTGGCAAATATTCCAAATTTCCAAATACTAGTTTTTTCTAGTATTTGGGCCAAATCTCATTATTTGGGATATTTTAAAAAAATTAAAATTTTACCCAAATCTTTTATCTTTTACAAAAACATCCTCTCTAGTTGTTGCTTGCGTTGTATTACATCATTTTTTACGTGAACACCAAAATAGTGATAAAATATTTAGTGAATATTAAAAAATGATATGATTGTTGATGAAAATTATTAAAAATTGGCTTTAGGTAACAAAGTCGTGTACTTTGTCTACTTCACAATGTATGAAATAATTCTTGTTGCACTCACTCCAAATTACCACATTGCTTTAGTGTCATGGACATTATTTGTTATTGTTGTAACGAACATTCAATTGACTTGTAATACAAACTTTTAGTTAGTTTTGATAGTTTTTAAAACTTGTGCGTATAAATCATATTTTTCTAAAAAGGTGAAATATATTTCCCAAATTTTATGGCCAAACACATGGTGAAATTTCACCCAAATTTTCACTCAAATAATATTTGCCAAGAATATTTGGAAATCTATGGCCAAACGCTAGCTTATAGTTGTGAAATGTTTACTCTAGTTTTAGTTCTATTGTTGTTTAAAATTACTTTCTTATTTATTATCTTGTCATGTTACCTTTTTACCTCATCTTAGTGTAATATATCACTTTTAGCTTTCTTTTATTATTTTTATTATTATACATGAAGGAATATTGATTGTATTGAAGTGTTGAACTAATAAGTGAATACATGGGAGATATATATAGGAGATA